TCCCTGCAGCCACAGCCCCTTCCCTCTCCAGGGTGTGCAGCAACCTCAGCACAACCACGAGTTGAGTCAACAAATGAAGAAATTGGGTGTCTGGAGTTTGTTTGTGGGCAAACTAAGCCCGAAGTGCTGCATGGGGGAAGAGGGAATTGTCATTCCAACCTCACTGTTCTCTCTGCTTTCAGATTCTGTCGTCTTGTCCAGACATCAAGTGGCATTTTATTGGCCACCTGCAGAAAAACAATGTCAACAAGCTGATTGGTAAATCCTGCTTGATTCTGTGTGGGCTACAGTCTCTCAGTGTTCAGATATGTCAGGGGAGGTTTAGGCTGGATATTGGGAAAAGGTTCTCCCCAAAGAGGGGGAACTCCCCAACACCTGTTGTAGGGACAAACACTCCTGTGCCAGCAGAATTGCCTCAGCCTTTGTTTCCTCCCCAGCTGTCCCAAACCTGTTCATGTTGGAAACAGTGGATTCTGTGAAACTGGCAGACAGAGTCAACAGCTCGTGGCAGAAAAAAGGGACATCCCAGAAGCTGAAGGTCATGGTGCAAGTTAACACGAGTGGGGAGGACAGTAAGTGGCCCTTTCTGATGCTGTGCAGCCCTTTCTGACTCCTGTTCAGAGAACCTGAGCGGGATGGGCTGGTTTGTGCTCTCAGAGTGTTTCTCTGGCAGGGCTGGGCACAGATCTCCCTGTTTTTTCCCAGGTAAGCACGGCCTTCCCCCTGGAGACACCACGGCTGCCGTGGAGCACGTGATCAACAAGTGCCCCAGCCTGGAATTTGTGGGGCTGATGACGATCGGCAGCATCGGGCACGACCTCAGCAAGGGCCCAAACCCTGACTTCCAGGTAAGATTTTCTAGGAGAAAATGTCACTGTGGGCTGGTCTCCTGTTACAGTTTGTCTGTCCCAGTGAAACCAGTCTGAGTCAGGCTATAAGATTGTAGAAACACCACGCTCAGAGCAGTGCAGAGCCCTCAGTACCGGTGTCAGTGCAGGTGGGAGGCTCCTTTCTGCAGAGCATTTCTCCCATCCCTCCTCTGAAGCTGCAGCCAGGATGTTGGCTGCCTGTGCAGCACTTGCTGTCCTGGAGCCTGTGGCCCAAGTGAGTTTTCTGTCAGCCTCCTCTGTGTTGTCAATAAATCTGGGAAGTCTCCAGGTGTTGTTACACCGCTTCACTGGGAAATGTGGGAATTGCATTTCCTGTGTGAAGGAGACTTCAGACACAGGCAGGAGTCGTGGTCTGTGGCACCCTGGAAGGGAGCTGGCGTGGCTGTCAGGTGTGTGAGCCTCTCCTCTTCCCCTCTCCCTGCAGATGCTGCTGTCCCTGCGGCAGGAGGTGTGTGAGAAGCTGAATCTCCCCGTGGAGAAGGTGGAGCTGAGCATGGGCATGTCCACGGACTTCCAGCACGCAGTGAGTGTGTTCCTCCTGCCACCCTTCCCGTGGGGAGCAAGGGGACCTGCACCCCAAATTCCACCCAAACAGGCCTCTTGCATGGAGATCCCAACAGTGCTGTTCCATGAAAAACAGCTCTGCTGGTCCTGGGGTAGATTCCTGGGATCAAACCAGCCGCCCTGGGTGGCGAGTGTGGGGGAAACTGTCCTTCTGTGAGATGGTGAGAACCGAGGCTGGTCACAGGGGTGGTGGCACCCCTGCCCTGACCTCCTCCTCTCTGTCTCTTCCAGGTAGAGGTTGGATCCACAAACGTCAGGATTGGGAGCACTATCTTTGGAGAGCGGGATTATTCCAACAAAGCCGTCGGGGGCAAGGCCCCCGCTGGAAGTAAAGGCCAAACGGAGGCTGTGACAGTGCAGGGGCAGTAGGTGGAAAACAAAACCCCTCCAGAGCAGAGACCTCGCTGCTGAGAGACCTCACTATGCATTTTACCTCCCTCCATGTCGGCACCTGATCCTGGTGGTGAGGGGGAATTCCTCGGAGCAGAGGCCAGAAACGCCTCATAACCATCGTGATTTTAGAGCACCCCTAGAAACTGGAAATCTTTATAACCAACAGATGATAAGGAAGTTGGTGGCTGAAAGTGGCTGTGGTGTCTTGGCTCCTCAGGGTCATCCAGGACAGAGACCTTGGGGTGACTGGGTTGGGCAAACAAATGTTTGTCAGGCTGGAGCTGCTGCCCAGTGAGGTGGGTGTGACCTGCAGCAGTGCCGGTGATTGTTGTCACTGAGGACTAAATTCTTCATTAAACAAGCTGGGATCTTGCCAGAAACCCATCAGTGTTTCCCCAAATAGGAGTTCTGGACGTGGGATGGTTATGTGGGAGCTGGGATAGGGCCATGCTGTGACACTGGAGAGGCCATGGCCATGGAAACAGGGTGAGTGCCAGGCACAGGGGGCTGTGAGGAGCTCAGCTGCCACCAGGAGTTCATGGGGTGATGTTTTGGCTGCACATCACAAGTGTGGGAGTGTCTTTTGGGCTCAATTCTGTTATTTTCAGGCTGACATTCACTTTTCCCATGGCTCCATGTCTGCCCAGATCTGGAATGCTTTCCCCCTTCCCTTCCTTTCCCCTCCTCTGTTGTTGGGAATTATTTTCATCCTGCCTAGTAGTTTTGATGCTGTTTCTTTGGTCAGAAGGGGACTTCTTCTGCCAGGTCCCTGCTCTGCCACCAGCTTGCTGTTGCTTTCCAAGGTGAGTCCCACCTCTTCTACACCTGTGAGAGAATAACATGCTTGGCTCAGGACAGCAGGGAGGTTTTCTTGGAAAAAGTACTTCAGAAAGGGAAGTATTATTGTCCCACTGCATTCTAGGTTCCTGAAAAAAATTCCTTTGGCCACTGAGAGAGCTGTGTCTTAACATCCTAAGTGCTGGTCCAGCCTTCCCTGCTCCTGGAAGAGGGAAGTGGGACTGTCACTGCACTAACTTTCCTTCAGGTGTGAGCAGAAGCTCTGTTGTCCTGTGCTGTTTGGCCAGTCTCCCAACCTGTGTTGCAGCTGATCTTTGGGCTTTTGTGGCTGCTAAGAGGAGGAGGCCTTGGCTGCCAGCAGAAACATCCTCCCCAGGCTTTGCTCTGTGTGCGTGTGGTTAAATCTCGCTGTTGGTTTCACTCTCTAAACGCTGAATGTAAATGAAGAGTCACCTCCAACACCACCCTGTTGTAGCTCTGTGGTTTAGAAGCAACGTGGGGTCGGAGCCGCCCTCCCTGCGCTGCACCATGTGTGGTTTCATAGTCCAGTAATAAAAAGTGATGAGTTTTAATACCATCTGTGCCAACTCCAAAGCTATTAAAGATGTTATTTTTATGTTCCAGCGTGGTGAATAAATGGCCTGAGCCGGTCTTGGAGCTGTTTCCCCAGCCTGGAGCTGCTCTAGGAGCTGGGAGGAGGGTGGTTGAAAGGCAGCTGAGACAGAGCTGGCAAAGAAAGTGAAGTGATTTTTGATCTGAAGGGTCAAAACCGAGCTGGTCGGTGCCTCGAGCTGTCCCCGGAGCAGCCTCTGGGTGGCGGTGCTGTCGCGGTCACGGGGCCGGGACAGGTCAACGACGGGTCCCAAAATCACCTTGTTCCCACCTGATGGCCGGAGTGAGGTCCTTCCTCTTCCTCCTCCTCTCTCCTCCCGGAATTTCAGCACCGCGCCCTCACCGGGACCCTCGTGCTGGCAAATTCCTGCACAGGAAAAGCCTCTGGGGTATTTTACACCTGTTCTGTCTGAACCCCACTCCAACGTGCAGGGGCTGCAGAACCAGCCCAGCCCTGGCCCAGGTGGTTGGAACCCAAGGGGGTTTGTTCACCCCTCACTGGTGGCCTTTCCCCACTGGCTGTGGCTCCAACACGGGCTGCACTGGCACAGTTTGTTTGGGCACAGGGTAGGGGTGGGCTTACACTGGGAATTCTCTTCTGGTATGGCTCACCTCCCCTCTGGCTTTTCCTCTCTCAGGCATTTCGTGTATCTCATTTCCTGAGCTGGGACTGGGCTTTAGCCAAGCTTAAAGAAGTGGTCAATGGTTTAAACTGGGAGGTGAGTGCGCTGGGGTGGCTGTGGGGGAGAACAAGCCTTGTCCTGATGTCTTTGTCGTGGAACTCTGCTCCTAAAATACCACAGTGATGAGCCAGACTGGCTCAGGAAAGTGTGTGGTCTTCTGGATTGCTGCTCAGCCTGCACCCTGCCTGCTGAAACCTTCAGCTCTGCTGGTGGCCTCCTGCACGAGGCTATGGCAGAGCAGGGCCTCTTGGTGGCCCTGGGGCTGCTCCTGTGGGGAGCAGGCTGGGTGCTGGGCTGGAAGAGCCAGTGCTGGGCTGTGACAAGGCACTGGAGAGGAGGGACAGCAGCAAGAGCATCTGCTCCTTCCCCTGCAGCTGCTTCTCTCACCCGTGAAGCTTCCAACTGACTTTTTTCTTCATGCCCGAGAGCTTTGCTGTGCTCCCCACGTGTCCGAGCCTCCCCAGAGCCGGAGCAGCCCACGGGCACCTCCCGTTCCTCCTTGAGGAGCCCACCCGGAGCCCGAGGCAGGAGGGTGCAGAGCTGCGGGGTCGGTGACACCAAACACCTGCCCAGGGGAGCGGGCACAGACCACCCACTCCCTCCACGGAGGTCAGCCCGCAGATGGGAGCTGTTGGTCACTGGAGTGGAGCCAGCGGGCTGGAGATGAAAGGCTCCCCGGCCTCTTAATGAACCGCGCGGAGCCTCGGCCCCCACGGCCCGGCTCTATTTACATCCAGCAGAGCCCTCGGCAGGGCTGGGGCAGCAGCAGAGCTCAGGCTCCCCGTGCTCAGCACTGTCACTGTCAATATTTGCCTTGGAGGGACACGTCCAGCAGACATGGGGGACTCCTCCTCCCCCGTGACTGCCGGCGGCGCAGGCGCCGTCCCCTCTGGAGCAAAGGCATGGCCCCGGGATTCCCAGCACTCCCCTGAGGTGACCCTTGTTTCCACGCTGGGGTTTGGTCCCTCCAAGAGGGAAAACAAACCCGTGGATGATGCTGGGCAGAGTGATTTGCTGCTGCCTCTCCTTCCCTGGCTCCTGGGGGCTGCACTGGCCCCCCATGGCCATCCTCATCCTCGGGGAAGTGCCGGCGGTGGAGCAGCAGAGGTCAGGAGCTGTGGGTCAGTGCCCTGCTGCTCCCGGGGGCTGTGGGCAGGTGGGAGTCTGGGGTGGCCGGGAGCAGTTCGGATCCGGGCCCAGGCGGATCCCGACGCAGCCCTTCAAAGTGGAAAGTGTGTTTATTTCTGGGATATCGGCTTTCCGGCAGGAAGGACGGCCACTGCCAAGGTTTTTATTGGATCCCAGTGAAAGGAATTAAGAGAGTCTCATGCTTGTTGTCTTTCCCTGGGCCTGCAGTACTTAAGGAGGCTTTTTACCTTTGAGTGGGAGCGAGGGACACGGGGATTTGGCATCTGGCTCCGGCTCGTCTGTGGTGATGGGGTTTCAAACGGGAGGCTTTGTCTCCTGGGCCAGAGGCATCAGGAGGGGTCGGGGCTGGGAAAGCACGGAGAGGGGCTTGGAAGCAGTTGAAAGAACCCAAACTCCATCAGGCTCGAAGCATGTGGGAAGTGTTGCTTGAGCTCCTCTCCTCGTAGCGAGGCTGGGGCCAGGTATTCCACACGTCCTAGTTTGGACAAGGTTCTCACTGTTCTTGCAGGGAATTTTAATGGAGGTTGAGATTCTGAAGAAGGAGGGAAGCCCACTCTTGCTGAAAGCAGGGGGCACCTCTCACCGTTCAGGGTTTTGGGAGGGTTCCATGCTGTGCGGGAGGGTTCCATCCTGCTCGTGGGATCCCGGAGCGGATACTGGACACAAGTGGTTTCCTGTTGCTCTTCCAGCTTCAGCTGCAGGATCTGGGACCAGCATCCTGCAGCCCTGAGGGCGGGAGGGGGATTTCTGCAGGGAAAATTCTGCTCAGTGGAAAAAAGGGAAAATAAAACCCACGAAGACGGAAAAATGTGTGACACCTGATGGTCTGTTTTTATTAACAGGATGATGCCCGTCTCCAGGGCTCTGAGGTCCTACACCTGACCCCCCGGGGCAGGGAGGGGGGGTCTGTGGAGGGTCTCACCCCCCACAGAAGAGCCCTTGGGGTCACAGTCCTTGTCCCTGCCTGGCTGGAGGCAGTGGGTGCCTGGGCTGGGAGCTCTGCGGGATCCAGGCTGCTTGTGGTGCCAACCAAGAGCTCGTGTGGAACAGCCTGGAGTGTGAGCTGAGGAGAATCCCTGCTTCCCGACATCCACCAGCACAGCGAGCGGTATTTATTTGGAGGAGAGGAGTAAATTTCTTTTTCCCCTCCAGGAACGATTGATCCTGGAGAGAAACTGCATTCCCAGCACCGTCTTGCCGTCCTTCCATGACCCTCTCCCTCCGCTCCCTGGCACGGGGTCCCGCACACTTCACTGCCGGCTTTTGATCCCTTTCGATTTGGCTCTGCAGTGAGCCGTGGCCTCGGAGAAGCCGAGCCCCGGGGGGACCAGAGGGCTGGGGGCAGGCAAGAGGCAGCGGGGACGTGGGAGGGGGGGGGACCGGGAAGGAAAATATTGAACTTAGTGTGAAAAGCAGTGAAGCAAACAGGGAACTTAAGGGGGAAGAGTGTTAAACGCGGAGCGGAGGCCAGGAGGGGATGGAGCAGTGTGACCACGGGGTGAGTTCGTGCAGGGGCTTCCTCCGTGGCGCGGGATCCCGGGGTGCCACAGGCAGAGAGAGCCCCCCGTGCGCAGGAGATGTGGCGGGGCCACGTGCGTGTCACCACCCTGGACGGGGCACCCTGTGCTCGCCACAGCCGGGATGTGCTCGCCACAGCCGGGATGTGCTCGCCACAGCCGGGATGTGCTCGCCACAGCCGGGATGTGCTCGCCACAGCCGGGATGTGCTCGC